TCGCTTAACTTGTTCACAATTAACATAGCTGCCGCTTTAAATTACCGATTTGGCACTGCTGTTTTTGCTTCTCCAGGAGAACCACCACCTTCCTGCTTTCTTGGGCATCTTCTCCTTCATGATGTTCTCCACTGCAGCCTGAAGCAGACCACACACACACACACACACACACACACACACACACACCAAGCAACCACAACACAAAGCCATAAAGACACACTACATCGAGCTCATTCACTGCACAACACACACACCACACTATCGTATCACGACCAAGCATCTACCACCAAGGCAACCCAATCGAACCATCGAAAGCATTGAAAGACGATCTCTTAAAACTAAATACAGCTCTATAACTACTCTGTTCGTTCTCTTTTTGGCTTATACCGTAAAATCATACAAACATGGCAGCGAATAACCAAGATGTGTGCGTGCTAGTGGCAGGCAAAAAGAGTAAGAAGCAGCGGAGGCGAGCTCTACAGGAGCTACCTCGAAGCTTGGGTTGCGTGGGGAGAGCGGGAGAGGTTCGCTAGTTTGACTGTTCCCCTGGGGTGGTCGGGATCGAAGACTGTCTCAGCGCCGTGTGACAGCCGAGGGCGGAGGCTGCGGGTAGGGTGAGAGCAGGTTGTTGTCTATAGACCCGAGTGTTTTCTGTGGCTCAGTGGAGAAGCAAGAGGACGTGGCGAGGATTGGCTGTGGTCAGACCACAGGGCTGCATGGGGTGTGGTAGTACGTCAGGTCTGTCGGTGCGGCTTTCTGGCTCGTTTCGGGGCGAGGCCTACAGCTCTGACACAAGCAGAGGTGTTAGTCTTCCCTGGAATGGAGGCAGGCAGGAAGCCTACCTGGGAATGAACTTGCTTGCTCGGTGTCGTAGGAGCGAGGGGATTCGAGTGGACGAAAGAGGGTGGACGGCCAGGCCGAATGAGGGAAAAAATACACCAACGAAATAGAGAAGATGTGATAAGCTTGTGTAACTTCTATAGAGTCTGGAGGGGTGTTGAGAAAACCAAAACCTATATACATCTACTACGTAGGGCATGTAGCGTTCAGATATGCTCAGGCACTAGCTGGAGTAAGCTTAACCGGTATGGTTTTTTGCTAAAACCTTTCTTCAGGCCATAAAGTCCAGTGACACTGTTAAATATTATAGGGCAGAGAGGTACATAACGGACTGTAATCGGAGGAGTGGAGTTAATAGAGAGATAGATCTGATGAATTAACAAGGAGAGAACAACATTTCAGGCTATGAGCAAAAGATCTTGTGAGAGATTACATTTTGGACTTACACAGAGTGATGTAATGTTGTTATCTGCTCTTGTTTCTCAGTGGGTTGACATAGCTTCATTGTCAGATGAGCGAAAAAAGACTAGTAACACGTATGAGTGATATTCGAGGTTGCACAGCTCAACAATTAGAGCGCTTATGTTATGTAAGGGTGCAGTACCGGGATCATCGAGGGAATACTTCGCCTGTAAACTCCAACTCCATGCACTTACTGATCGCGTATAATACCAATCTGATAGCCAAGCGTCTATGCGAATCAATTTACTTACCCTTTGGGCATAGCTGGTCTGGAGAAGGCGTTGCCTAGCCCACAGAACCTACCACGCGGCGACTCGCCGTAGTTCAATGCGCCTATATAGCTTAGTTATAACTCGTGGTAAGAGTTACAACAAAAATGATTTCTATGCACCTTCGATGTTGAGAAGTGCTAGGTCTGAGAACACTGATAGCTTGTCAGCACAGGCATTTTTTTAGCTTTCATCCTCGGCAATATGTAGTTTGTCGCTCTATGTATCTCGCTTGCTGATTTTGGCTCGCCATAGTGCGCGTATGGAACCCATCAGTGACTATCTCATTCAAGTTCCATACTCTCAGAGATGATCCTTGTTATCTTGAGACGCAATTGATTCTCCCCCACTAACACATTGGATCCTAGCAATGATGGATCGGTCGGTGTTCTGCTGTGGCAACTGCTCAAAAATGGGCACACGGGTCTTTCTTAAAGAAGTAGCTCTGCTAAAAAGGAAGGGAGAAAGAGCAACTTCCCACACTTTGATACTGTAACCCGATGAGCGTGTGAGAGAAGACACAGTGAGTCTAAGGATCGTTGCATCTTGCGGGAGTACCTAGTCAGTCACTGTGAATCGATGACCTTTCGTGATCGTCCCTGGTGGTACGATTTGAAGCTCCCGCCCGAACGAAAACATTTGGCCATAAATCTTGATGCAGCAGGCTCGAGGAATGAGAGTATCGCCCAGTAACTGTACTGACGCCGACTGTCTCGGTAGCACAGAGCGTCTCCGTGTAGCAGAGTTAAAGGGCTGAGGAGAAACTGACTGGTGCTGTGGGAGGCGAACGTGATCACGATGATACTCCTCACTATGATCTGCAATCGATGAGTAGTTTCGACTGCAAAACATAAGACAAAGATGGAAATACTTTGATGGAGTATAAGGAAAACCTGACTCACAAGATACCTCCTGATCCAGTTCTGCTCAACTAGTTTCAGAGTATAGTACTAAATCTGTATGAATACTCTTCATCTGATCTATCATCTGGCGAGAGAATGTTGTGCTGTCCTACAGAATACCTCTATGGAACATAACACGCTCTCAGGTGCCGAGCTAATCTCTTTACAAAAGACAGGCCTTGCTAACTAGATTTGTGTCACGGACTAGGATGAGAAGATCTCATCCAGATCACGCAGTGTGGCGTCCGACTCCTTTCTTATCACTGCAAAATGATGCCTATTACACACTTCATCTTATCTAGCACTCTTCGTATATTTTATCGCCTCCAACTATGATAGAATTGGGTTAAATCCGCGAGCAAACAATCATTTCGTTCCTCTCAGCTAGTTCCATCTTCTCGCTCGTCTCTCGCTCGCCTTCTCTCTCATGATCTCGCAAGCTTCCTCTCTAGCTCGCTCTCTCCTCCCCAGTTTATCTTTTGCAATACGAGAACTGCCAGTTCGCTACTTCCACCACAAGTTTCCTTGCGAGTGGTAATTGCTAGTACCGACTTTCATATATTTGGCATACAACCTGACTCAAATTACTATGGAAGCACCATTGCAAGTTAGTGTCCATGATGAAGCTAGCTATCTTGGGCTAGTGTGAAGCTGCAGACTTCATACGACGGCCTACCAGCGGGCATGCAGGTATAGAAGGAGCTCACGTTGGTGAATCGAATCGCATTCTCTTCATAGATCTGCACTTTTTGTCTTTTTTACGCGTGATGTAGTTTATGGCTTCTGCTCTTGTGGACGCAAGATGATCATGTTGCTCTCTCCTTGTCGAGCCACCTCTAGTAACGACATGCGTCTTCCCCATACAGCGCTCCCCCCTGTCTGCTAAGACTTGCGCTCCCGTATACGTTATCTTTTCGCGACGTGCTATGCTCCATAAGAAGATTCACTGCACTCTCCGATTTCCTGCTATTGTTTGCGCACCTCTGATGTCTGTCTTGCCGAACATGCGACCTCCGAGTCGCAGTACAGCAGTCCGCTGCCATGCGACTGCTAGATTGCCGACAGAGACGATATGCACACAAGAAACAGGATGGTATTTTCGCCGATGCCAGAATCACGATCTGAGGCATGGTCAGGAGATCTCCGGTAACTATCGCATGCAAGTAAACGATGGTAGGCGGTGCAAGCTTTGATGGTTGCCGACTGGAGGACACTTCACTTCGTCGTTCCACAAGCAACAGAGACTCTTCTTCAAAGGAAAAAGGGTCAACCTTTGAAACAAGGTCCCCACGAGCATTTAATCATGGACGGCGGATACGCCTGCACCCACGCCAAACTATCATGGCACGCCTAGCACTCCGGCACGAAATAGTTTGCCAAGCCGCACCTCCGAAGAACCACTCAGGCGTAAATCTATTCTTAAATTCACCACGGAGTTTCTAGGTAGCTTTCTTTGATACCATGCACGGACACCGCCCGGCACTAGCGGGTAGATACGGGAGCAAAAACTGAGTGGAGGGTGGACTTAGTTACGCAAAGACAGAGATGGCTACGAGTGGGAAAGAAGCATGATGATATGTGGAAGGACAGATGGCTACAAGAGTGGAGAAGAAGATGATGATTATGAGCTGAAGAAATAACAACACTGCAGATTAGGGTATCAGGATTAAGGCTTTCCTACCATGGCGGCCTGAGGCAGCTCTCCCCACGCCCAGTGCATTTCTGGATTCTGATTGTCTGTGTTTGACGGTTTGCCAATTAGCTCAGAATCACTCTTGGGAGATGTGGGGCGAGAGTTTCCAGGAACCACTCCTCTCCCCTCCTTTTTTTATTTGTTTTTTAGTAACTTTATTTTTTTTTATTTTTTCTTATATTTTTTTTCTGATTGTCTGTGTTTGACGGTTTGCCAATTAGCTCAGAATCACTCTTGGGAGATGTGGGGCGAGAGTTTCCAGGACTAAAGGAGAAAGAGGTTATAGCATTTCCACATTTATTTCATGGATTTATAGCATTTACTGTAGGTGTGAAAGAATTTTGTGTGAGTTGAGCACCTCTGAATGGGACTCCACTCCCCATCTGAACGAGTGTACATGCCAGCCTGTTTGAAAGAACTGTTGGTCGAACCAACTGTGTTCTCATCTCTAGAGACATCCCGAGATGAAGACCTGGAGTATAATCACAAAGACGAGTTAGTCAGGGTTTTCTTTACTCTCTCTTACACTGTCAGGTGATCATCCTCATCTTCTGCATGGGTATTTAATTAGTCCTTCACCATTTCCCTTCACTCCTCACGGCCAGCTCTTACCTGTTGCTCTCTATTTCTGCCACTTCATCCGAGCTGATGTCTATGGGGAACATGTCTTCGTCCGCGGAGTAGTCTCCACTTTCCTCTCTCCTCAGGCTGTCCGCCCGAGCCTTCCTCCTCCTTTTCCTCCTTTTCTTCATCATCACGTTACTGTTCTCGCCATTGCTTGCCACGGAGCACAGATTCTGTATGGGTGTCCCGGAGATCTTCCCCATCAAAACAGGTCCATCTGATAGGATAGGAGAGGTGGCCAGGTAGGAGGGAACCACTTCCTGTTAAGACAGGAAACAGGAGTGAAACAATGCCGAGCAGACAAAGAGCCTGAACGTTACACCAAAAACTACCCACATGAGGGAATCT